CCAGGTCGGATTCCTGGTGTCTCTCCGACCTTCAACACCCACCACCACCACTACCACTACATCCTCCACCCCTCCCCCCCACTCACCCAAGTAGTGGCAATTTCTCTTCCCTTTCTTTTCTTTTCCTCTTTCTCTTATTCACTTGTTTGTTATTATCCTCATCATCGTCACTGTCTTTTTTTTTTTTTTTTAACATTATTTCCTATTTTCTCCCTGCCCCTTCCTCTGATCTCCATTCCATTCTCCCTTCCTGCCCGTTTCTAATATCCCTAGGGAAGTGGGAAGAAAAAAAAGTTCCTGAAACCGATTAACGCCTGAGGATTCATACGGCCATTGATGACCCTTTCGTCACGAGACAATTAGTTCGCCTGCGATTTAGCCTCCTCTTCGCTTCCTCGCATTCCCCCTCCTTTTTCACTCTCAACAGTCGCCGTCTTAGGTCATCCGCTTCTCGTTGGTGGTTGATCTTATCTTCGACCGTTACCCTCCGAATTTCGAAATTCCGCACGACTCGATCATCATCCGTGACTTAGTGTCGTTGGGGGATTTATCTGTTGCTGGTCCTAGCGCCTTGTCGGTCGCTCCTATGTTTGAATAGTTCCTTCCGAATTTCGGCTTATCATTGAACGAATCGTTGTGTGGTGGATCTCAGTGCCCACATTCCTCGGGTTGGTTGTTTCTTGGGAATTTACAATCTCTCCGTCGCCATGAGTTATCAACAAGCTCAGGAAATGTATCATGACAATTCTTCGGCGCGTTCCCCTGGTTCCCAGCGTCACCAGCAACCTCTGCACCGCCAGCCGTCGCGACAATTTGACGCGTACGGCCCCATGCCAGTGAATCTGTATGAGGACTCAATGGCTCGCTACGATTCTGGCCGGCTGGAGCGCCTGAACTCCTCGTTGCATAACAACACCTATGCCTACGACCTGGCGGGCTCTCAGACGTGGAATCCCAATGGTTTCGCCAACGCCCAAGCACTGGGAGGCATCCGATCCGCATCGGCCAGCTTGAAGACTACCTCGCGCACCGGTCGAGCTGGTTTGCCAACTGTATGTTCCGCTCGCCCCTGACTGGTTTACCGTTATTTTGCGCCCGCTAACTCCGTTCTCATAGACGTGGCTCGATCAGCAGCCGGGCATCCCGAGTGGCTTTTCCAACCTTGGCCCCGGTCCTCTCCAGGGTAACGCGATGCGCCAGGAACCGACGGGCCCTTCGGAGGCAGATGATGAGCTGATTCCAACGGCCATTGTCATCAAGAACATTCCATTCGCAGTCAAGAAGGAGCAATTGGTTCAGCTCATGACTGAGCTTAACCTGCCACTTCCCTATGCGTTCAATTACCATTTCGACAACGGTGTCTTTCGAGGACTGGCTTTCGCCAATTTCACTTCCGCAGAGGAGACTGCGACCGTCATCGAGGTTCTGAACCATTTCGAGCTGCAGGGTCGGAAATTGCGGGTTGAATATAAGAAAATGCTCCCTCTCCAGGAGCGCGAGCGGATTGAGCGTGAGAAGCGCGAGCGCCGTGGCCAGTTGGAAGAGCAGCACCGTCCTATGGCGACCTCGCAGCTGCAGACTCAGAGCTCCATGTCCTCTCTCACCTCCCACCTTCCCGCGACCTCTCCGTCGCCCGTGTCGCAGCGGGGTCAGAAGCTGGGTAAGATGCTTCCTCATGATCTCGCGCTGTTTGTGTATCGCTAACGATTCTCATCTGTCCACAGACGTCGACTTGAATGACAGCACAACCCTGTCGTATTACTCGCAACTGCTGCTGTTTAAGGAGGATACTGCCCGCGACTCCATGGTGTTCCCGGCCAACCTTTCGCCTATCCAGCGCCGTACGGTCCACACTCTTGCCCACAACATGGGGCTTGGGCATGCGTCCCGTGGGTCGGGAGAGCAGCGGCAGGTCCAAGTTTTCAAGGTTGCACCCGGTACTAATGTGAGCCCGCCCATGTCGTCTATCCCTGCCCCAGTGCAGCCGGTCGAAACGGCACGTCGGGGACTTAACCGCGCGGCCACCATTGATTTCAGTGAGTCTCGGGGCGACGGACCCACCCCTTTCAACACCCTGCGCGGACAGCCATCTGGCTTCCTTGGAGTCTTGGACTCCCCCGGCAACTTCGGGAACACACAGAACCTACGGGCGGCGAAATCGTTTGCCGACTTGCGCTCGTACACGCCCTCGCCCGTGCCCTCTTCTGCGAGCTTCCCTGCCGCCTTGCAGTCCAATGGCGCACGCCTTCAGCACTACGACGGCACCGCCAGCGGCACGTCCAACACTCCTACCCTGACGTCCGCTCCGTCCGGCTCCTCTCTCGGCATGCAGCGTGACGACAGCCTGTTGGTGAACAGTCTGAGCAGTCTTTCTTTGGGAACTGGGATTGGAGGGCCTAACGCGAGCCCGCGGAGATTGAGGGGTATGTTTTCTTGGGAGCAGCCGGAAAGTCAGCCCTCCAGCGCTGGTCCCATTGGTAGTAACCGATCCATCGGAGTTGGATTTGACGGACAGTCACAGGAGCGCATGCCCATTAGACAGCCGCGAGGCCCGATGCCCGAGAAAGGTCCAGGATTTCGACGCCCGACCGGACACCAAACGCGTGGGAGTGATGAGTTGCGCACCAGCTCCGGAGTGGAAATTATTGTGGAGTAAAATCTATTGATGGGAGACGAAGACGACGAAACTTGTTAGATTGCTTTGCCGCAAGATGCATACGACTCTTATATCACGAGGCCTGATCCTGTTCTGCGATTATTGGCTTACGATTCGATGAGGGATGACGAGATGACACTCTACCGAGAGAACCACAAAAGAATATTTCTCTGATCTAGCCAAGTTTAGACGTTATTTTTGGGGCAGCCCAGCAGGCACGCTGTTTGAACGGACTCTTTATGTTTTCTCCTTGCTGCGCGGAAAAAATCACATCAGAAAAAAGAAATCTCTGAACTTTTTGAGACGCGGGCGCCTTGCATGCAGAATCATCACTATCTATTCAGATCTCATGACCCTGAAGCTCGATCAAGTTGGGTCGGCGGAAAGCAAGATAAAATCTGATTTCATTTTCGAGGGAAAGAAGACTACGAAGGACGACCACAGAAAAGAAAAAGAACTCCGATGTCTGTTAAATTGGCAAGAGAGATGATGACCTACCAGCATTTGCATCTTCACTATTTATTTCTTTCTTGTTTGTTTACCTGTTTGTATATGGGGCGATCTGCATCAATTAATGTTTTTTCTCTCTCTCTCTTTTTTTTTATCCTTTTCTCCCCTTTCATTCGCTCTTCATGCCGATCTTTGTTCTCGACTCCTTCTTATACAAGTCTAGGCAATCGTGTGGTGTGGCTGGACCTCATTGGGCCGGTCTCTCTCACAAGACTGCATTTGCATCTGCGTTGCGCCTGGTGCCTGGACCGTTCCCTTTTGGCCGGGCTCTCATATCTGAGGGCTCGTCCGTGCACTTGTAATCCAGTCACTATCGTTTGATGAATCTTATCGCATGGACATCTCCGAGAAGAGGGCGCATTGTTGGGACGGAAAGCCTAAATCCTGGTGCATGCAGTGGTTTCCAGTTTTCGGTGGGAGAGAGAAGAACGGTTCGGAACGGGTGCTTGCATTCTGCTGGCTGCTGAAGAGTTTCTGCTTAGCCGTTGCCTTGTGTTTTGAGGCCAGGGCAACAGTCTCAAACGATGGGTGGATGGGTTTGTTTTTCTTTTTTTCCCTTAAATATGTCGACATGAACTTTGTACGTGTACTGTGTATCAGCTATTGAGCTTTTTTCTTTCTCTTTTCTCCGTCTCTTCTTACTACTAGACTGTCGAGTACTGAGGTGTAATGTATTGATTGCCTATTGATTCTCGGGGTCGCTTGTCTGTTTGAAGCTATCGTTTTCTCACTCCCGGGTGTACTCGATTTCACCAATGTGTTAATTGTTAAGAGGTAAGATCTGGGGAATTGAAAGGGCTTTGCGGACTTGTAGGATACGTACAACCTGTATAGTTCCAGAGCATTCAGCGCCTGATAGGTAAAGAAACTTCATTAGACTGACTACCTGTAGTCACACCATTTGCTCTCTCCCTCTCTGTATCCGGATCCCGGTGTTGAGTGAGATGTTTGCTGTGGAGTAGCAATGATGGTGTTCTGCGCTGTCCCGTGCTGCGTGCTGCGTGCTGCTTACTCGGGTAGATTGAAAAGATTAGAGTGATATATTTTCTGCCCAGAACCAACCTACCAGACTCGACGCTCCCGGATCCGCGTTTGTTTCTTTCGTCGTTCATCATCGGGGCAACAGGCTTGTGAATTACCTTCCATTGTCCCTGCCAATCTATTGATTAGGGTTATCCATACGTAATACAGTTGAGTGGCACGCAGTAATGCTCGTGTATAGTATGCCATAGATAGATCTGTTTACTGTAAGAATTGGCCTTTGAAGAGGTTTGGGCTTTTATGCCTTGATCTACTGTCAATCACTCTCAAGCACACCGCTCTCTCCAAGAATAGTCCGCCTGTTCTACAATTCTAACCAAAAGTCAATCTGTTTTATCATGTGACAAGGGAGGAGATATCCGAATCAGTCTCGTCAAGTGCCATCAGCACAAACAACACCATTTCATAGTAGATTATAAGGAGACATGGAGAAAAATAGATAGACACGTCAGCAGCAGCAACACGAGAAGAATAGAAAATAAATAAAACCGACTGCCGAGATATTCCCTTTTTCCCATTACAGCGCCCTGGATAGAAATGAAAACAAGAAGTTTAAGTGGAGACAAGGATAGAAAAAAACTGTCGGGGGATAAGCACATGAAAAAAAGCAGAAAGAGACAAACAGAGCTAAAGAAACATTTCGAACGGGTAACGTGCCGGGGGAGGTTAAGAAAACGTGCCCGTTGTATCCACTCCTGGAGACCTTCGGATCATGTTGGCCAAGGGCCAAGGGCGAGGTGAAGACTCAAGGCATAGAAAAACGGGCCTAATTCCCCCCCGGGTTTGAATTCATCATTATCGAAACGCCGTTTGTTCGTCGGGTATCCGGTCCGCCGTTAAGAGGGTTTAAGCGTCAGTCTTGCTTTTCTTCTTCTGTTCGACCTTCAGCAGTAGTGCGCGGTTGATGCGTGGCAGAACACCACCGAAGGCAATCGTAGCACGGATGAGAGTATCCAGTTCCTCGTCTCCACGGATCGCGAGCTGCAAGTGACGGGGCGTGATACGCTTGACCTTCAGATCCTTGGCGGCGTTTCCGGCAAGTTCGAGGACTTCGGCAGTCAAGTATTCGAGGACGGCAGTGACATAGACAGCAGCTGTGAGCGGTATTTGTCAGCAAATTTTTGAAGGAGAAGGGAGATGTTAGCAGCAGTGAAGAGGACACTGTGCGACAGATGGACATACCCTTGGCACCAACGCGCATCTTGTTCTGTGTGTTGTTCTTCAAGAAACGCTTAACACGTCCACAAGGGAACTTAACAACTAAATGTCAGTTTACGGATCCAAAGCAAGAGCAACAGATGAATGCATGTTGGGTTCAAAAGTCAGACTCGAGGGAGGGATTCGAAGGCGCGGATGATCGGGTCTCTTGCTTCGAACGGGAGCAGCCAGCGCGCTTGTGAGCCATGAAATGCACAAGCGACCATCTGAGTCAGAGAGCAGACCAAGTATAGCCAACCGTCAGGAAGACAGTATGCGTGAGGGGCAAAGGGGAAAAATTCCCATTACAGCTGCCCCATCCACGCGTTCCCGCGACTTGCCGATTGACGCCGTGACCGACGCCACTCCCAGGAGGAAGGAAGAAAGAGACTGGAATTACGGACCTGCAGACCGGCCTTTGCGCTGTGAGACTTCTGGCTCTTCCCCGCAGAGTCCTTGGAGCCACCCTTTCCACCGATGGACTTTCCCTTTCCGCCAGGCATCGTGAATAGTTTTGAGCGGTGGGACCGGAAGGATCAAAATGTCGCGTCAATCGAGGATTAGAAGGGGTGGAGTGCGATGGTGGATGTTGTAGCGATCCGATGCACCTCAAGCACGCGCGTTGTTGATGGTTGAAGGAGTCAGAAATGTCAAAGCCATCCTGGTCGCTAAAGACGGGCGTCGAACGTGGAGCGACGCTAGTCCCGATTGAGGAACCTGCTCAGCTGCCTACCACGGAGAGGTCTCGATCAGCATAGAGTATGCCAGTCGGCTGGCCTCACCAGAGAGCATAGTTTTGGTTGCCGTTGTAAATTCTGAAGAGTCTTTGCAGAAGCACGAGGTAAGGCTCGATCTGCAATCAGCAACCAAACAGACAGTCTGGGGGGAGGTTAGTCATTGAAGTGTCTATACCACCGCTTGGTCGAGTCATTCAAGTCTTGATGCAGCGATGGTCCAAGGCACCACTTTTGTCAGGAAACGCCATTGCACTCAATAGCTTCTCTCCAGGTTGCTCTTCATGTCGAAGAGTCTCGGGCTGCATCAAATGGTGCAGGGTGGAGGTTTCTTGACTGTATGTAGAGAGGCAGTTGAGGTTGGTAGGAGAGTGTGCAGAGCATGATGGTCGCTGGACTGGTTACATAATCAGAACAGGTGATCTCTAAGTGCGCTTGCCAGCCAGGTGGGCTAGCTTGATGCCTTAAGATTAAGGCTACAACAGCTCTGCTTATCGCTGACGTTATCTGGGTCGCGTGTGGCATAGATAGCGCTATACCGATAGTGGCGAATCTTGGCCACGTGACACTACGCTATCAGGACAGCTGGCACACTTTCCCGGGGCTCCAGTTCCGCAGTTTGGGAAGTTTCTGTCCTTGCACGCGTGTCTCCATCTTTGTTTCACCCCATCGCGCACTGCTCCTCATCATCAAAGGGTCCCCTTAGGCCTCCAGCACTGCCGCTCAATCCGTCAAGATGGTGTCCCCTCAAGTGTGAGTTCTTTCGAAGCCTTCCTCACCAGAGTCGAGGCAAAAAATCATTGTCGCCTCCCGAAAATGGCATCGCTGACAGCCTCATTCTTTGTCGCAGTACGAACCTCGCCATCATCGTGGTGATGATGCAGCTAGCCAAGAAGGTCCCCTTCGAGAACCCCGATGTCCTCCTTCTTGTTCGTTGCATGTACATCTTGTCCAACGTGATCATCCTGGGTCTCTACTTGTATACTCAGGCCAAGATCAACAAAAAGAATGGTATGTCTGGAGTGGCCGGAATGAGGATCAACATTCACTAACGAATCCCCAGACTTGACTACGCTCAAGTATGTCGAGCCTGCCCCCATGGGTAGCAACGAGGAGCCTCGCCCGGTGACTACCACCAACGCTGAGTACGACAAGGGACAGCTGCGCCAGCTGATCCGTGGACAACTCATGGGTGTCGGCATGATGGGTGTGATGCACCTCTACTTCAAGTACACCAACCCCCTCTTGATCCAGTCGATCATCCCTCTCAAGAGTGCCTTTGAATCCAACCTGGTCAAGATTCACATCTTCGGCAAGCCTGCTACCGGTGACCTTCAGCGCCCTTTCAAGTCTGGCAACAGCTTCATGAACCAGGGCCAGGTCAAGACCGACAAGGCTTCGGTCGAGAGCGCCGAGAAGAACTGGCGGGGTGGTGTCAAGGAGGAGTAGATTGAGAGGCCTTGGGTAACAGATGCGCGATAGATCGCACATGTTTTGTACCTCTTGTATTTTATAGATGCCTTGCCATTGGAGCGGAGTCGAGTCGAGCTGCGTTGCTGCTGCTTTGCTTTGTTCTTCACTTTTAATGATAGTGCCGATGGGTTTACGATATTCTTCTCTTTTCCCTCTTACTCGTAGTCAAGTTATTGGTAAATTCTTTGGTGAGCAGGCTAACCTACCGCCTGTTCATGAATTTCTCGGCATGTATCTGCTTCAACTTTCTAGGCAGACGCCTTCATCATCGAGTCATATGATTGACGAAGTGGCGATAGAGTCGATGATTACTTTGCTGACTATGACCGAAGTGCCCTCAATTCTTCTCGAGTAAGATGCTATTTCTATTTGCAAACCGAGCGAAATAATGCCGCAGATCCGTAAACCTGTCCTCTGCAGCTGGGATGGCGGTAACAACGGATTTGGACGTGCTCATATGTGGAGTCAGATCCCGATAATAGAAGCGAAGGGGGTTCCTCAGTTCGCTTTGACTGCCGGACTATCCGCCTGCCTGAGGCCTTACTCCGGATCCAGGGCACCAGAAATTCGCCTCCGGAGGCTGATTCTGTATTTCTAATCCTTTGATTTGTAGGTCATGCTATGCTTCCATTGATGACTCGAAGACTGTGTGTCATCATTGCTGCTGCTGCTGCTCGAACTGTTGAGCGTCACGGTTTCTTTCTTTCTATTGCAATTGGACATTGATGGTTTCGCACAGAGCGGCAGAACCCTGCAGGCTTCCACTAATCACAGAAGGATCAAAGCCCGACAAAAAAAAAGAGAAAAGAAAAAAAAAAATTCAATCTGGGACCCAGCGCGTGATGGTTGACATGGTCGCCGGTGAATCTTTTCAGGCACCTTCGGTGTTAAAGTCCAGTTGAAGCTCTCCCCAGGCCCGCTTTCAGCGTCCCAAGCAATGGTCCAGCCAGGGCGGATAAAAAGAGATGGAGGGGCACGATTGCCAAGAGGGGGGAGAAGGGGGGGAGGATCATCATAAGCCCGAACCGAGCAAATCAAGACGGGCCGAAGCTGGATGCGGCAAATCTTAGTAAGATCATGGATGGACCGATTGCGGGCACCCGGTATCTCCTTTCAGTTGGGGTTATTGGGGTTATTGGGGCTGATGGTGGTGAGTTGTCTGAGTTGCTCAGTAGTACTAGTACGGATACTCCAATGTGACTGACTGACTGGGGGAATAATGAAAGTATAGTAGTGTCAGGGAGTGGTGGCATGTTGTTACATCATTCCTTCAGTGTCTCTCCTCTTCTACCCTAACATATCATGGATCATAACACCACTGCACTCAATGCATACCTCGGCTGATCCCAGTCCCGTAGATGCGCGAGAACTGGCTCATAACCTAGGCTCTCAAGCATCACGAAAAGAGGAGCAAGCAGCAATTCCGACGATGCTGGTAAAAGATTCTCGAGATTTGGAGTGAGTACCCGGCGTGATAGCTTTATAGCTCGCTCATTGGCCCAGACGGCAGCTGCCGAGGGGAAAGGTGGGAAGTCTGGGAGGCCCAGATATCGTGAATCTCCTGCTTTGCCCGGTGTATGAAACCGGAAAAGGCTATGGGGGAACTGGGGAGCGGCGCATGTCGGGACAATCAATAGGGCAAAATCCCACGCTGACCAGCTTGGCGTCTTTCTGGGTGTTTCTGGTAATTCTCCCCAATCTGGTCCATTCTGGTGGCAGCGTAGCAGAGCTTGCCGCAGCCTTTGCCCCGTCTGTCTGTTCGGTGTAGTGACCGGGTCGTTGCGTCAGTCGATTGTCTGTCCCGCTATCCTTTTTCTACCTTCCCCTCCCCCGCCTGTTGGGAAACTTTTCTTTCCTTTCTCTTACTCTCTCTCTTTCTCTCTCCATCATCATCTTCTCTTCCATCTTTCTCCTCAAGTAACTTCATCCAAACAGTAAGTTTCTTCCCCACTGCATCCATTCTCTTCCTGTTCTTCCCATCTGTGTACCTACTATACTCCCCCCTCCCTCCCGCCAAGCTACCGTTCCCGTCTCCAAGCGCTCTACTAACCAGCTACCCCGCCAAACAGACACATTTACACAATGGCTCCCAAGGTACGCCTAGTGAAGGCAATGAGCTCGGTATTCATCGCGCTGTTACTCACCTAATCAATTCTAGGTCGGTATCAACGGCTTCGGTCGTATTGGACGTATTGTGAGTGGCCTTGACTCTTGCTGCGAATGAGACTCGTTCTAACAACCCCTCCTTCAGGTCTTCCGCAACGCGTGAGTGCCATCACTGCGGCTCCATAAGTGGATCCGGACCTTCCGGCAATGAATTGCTACTAACAGATTGTCTACAGCATCAACTCTGGTGACGTCGAGGTTGTTGCCGTCAACGACCCCTTCATTGAGACCCACTATGCTGTATGTGGTTGCCAATATCTTCTTCCAGCCGCAAAGAGTCACTGGCTGACCGAGCTCGATGCTCATGATGTAGGCCTACATGCTCAAGTACGACAGCACCCACGGCAAGTTCAACGGTACCATCGAGACCTACGAGCAGGGCCTCGTTGTCAACGGCAAGAAGATCCGCTTCTTCGCTGAGCGTGACCCCGCTGCCATCCCCTGGGGTCAGGAGGGTGCCGACTACGTTGTCGAGTCCACCGGTGTCTTCACCACCCAGGAGAAGGCCTCTGCTCACTTGAAGGGTGGTGCCAAGAAGGTCATCATCTCTGCTCCCTCTGCCGATGCCCCCATGTTCGTCATGGGTGTCAACAACACCGAGTACAAGAAGGACATCAACGTTCTCTCCAACGCTTCTTGCACCACCAACTGCCTTGCTCCCCTCGCCAAGGTCATCAACGACAAGTTCGGTATCGTTGAGGGTCTCATGACCACCGTCCACTCCTACACCGCCACCCAGAAGGTTGTCGATGCCCCCTCCAGCAAGGACTGGAGAGGTGGCCGTACCGCTGCCCAGAACATCATCCCCTCCTCCACTGGTGCTGCTAAGGCTGTCGGCAAGGTCATTCCTTCCCTCAACGGCAAGCTCACCGGCATGGCCATGCGTGTCCCCACCGCCAACGTTTCCGTTGTCGACTTGACCTGCCGTCTCGAGAAGTCTGCCACCTACGACGAGATCAAGCAGACCCTCAAGGCTGCCTCCGAGGGCGAGCTCAAGGGTAAGTGCTCTGTTTGTGGTTTACGATTGAATTTCTTGCTGACCATCTCATAGGTGTTCTCGGCTACACCGAGGACGACATTGTCTCCTCCGACCTGAACGGTGACAGCCACTCCTCCATCTTCGATGCCAAGGCAGGTATCGCCCTCAACCCCAACTTCGTCAAGCTCGTCTCCTGGTACGACAACGAGTGGGGTTACTCCCGCCGTGTTGTTGACCTCATTGGTAAGTTTGAAGGTTTCTGTCAAGCAATGTTGAGCAGTTATCTAACCCGTGCGTGCAGCCTACATCGCCAAGGTCGACAGCCAGTAGGAATCAGGACGGAAGGACCTCAAGAGCCTGCTTTGAGTGCGCGGCTTCAATTGCCTAGCTTCGGCTTGCTCTCATGGAAACCCGCTTTAGTAAAAGCATGTGATGACGTACTATTAATGAAATGACACAACTGTTCATATTTGTTCAATTCTCTCTTTCTCTCTCCGTAAATCTGGCGGCCCTGCGGCTTCTCAATGTAGATGGATTTCACTCCATAAGATGTGCAGTTATTCTCCAATATTGAATATAGTTGCAGCAAAGAATCGACTGTCGGATACACGGTGGGGATGGCGCTACAAATCTGGTTAAGCTTTGGCAAATGGGCAGACTATTACTTGTTGATACTTGTTGACTAGCGGGCAGCAAGTTCGTTATCGCCGAAGGATAAGTTGCCTTCCGCTAAACCGCGGCAAATTCTCGGAGGAGCGCAACAGTGATAGTAGCAGTTGATCGTGCTTGAATTTCGTTCTTATTCAACAATCATGCTAGTCAGTCACAAACTCACTCATCACAAGAACATTTCCAATTCACGATCGTGTTTTCCGGCCCAGCCTGAGGATCTGTGAAGAAGTGGCCAGATTTGGGATTTGGAGGGCGGAGGTCACGTGGAGCGCAGCTAAACTGCGGAATTTCGAGCTCTACAATTGATTCGAGATTCTTAGTCCAGAACGCCTCCGCTGGTGTGCTTCGGTGGGTGCTTTCCTGTACCAAACAGCCACGATTATAACCCCAGAGGAGAGTCTTGGCTTGAATACTGGTTCTCATCATATACCTGTTGTTGCTCATACGACGCCAGTGGTGCCTCATTAGTCGTTCGATTTCGTGGGTCCTTCCTGTGGTCCCGGGCTTTAGTACAAGTGATCTAAAGTGCCCTTGGTACTTGTGATCCTGCCACACTCCAAGATATCAAGCAATCCTCCCACTCTTCTGCCTTGGTCCTCAACAAGCTCGACAATCGCTCTCAGCTAGATCGTCTCTTGCGAAGCTGCATCCTCATTTTGGCCTAACCCTTTTTAACCTCACTTAATCTTTCCCAGGGGCATCTGTAGACTCTCCATTCCGACCTTGGCTTGACCATGAGGTGTTGATTTGGCCCAACTAGAAATCGGTCAAAGCGGAAGTCAGAGAAATTGCTCCAGGCTCACCACGATGGCACTGGAGGGCGACGAAGACACCGTCATGGGAGAGGCGGGCAACCCAGGTGCGCCAGCCCAATTCGATGGACCCTCTCAACCATCGATTACATCTCCGCTACTGGGTCAGACTTTCAAGCTGCCTTTGTCGCGCCATCCACTCAACTCACAGCCTCTCTCTGCCTCTTCGAAGCCGGAGAATGGAGGCGGCATTTCTCCTCCCAAGAGCCTACCAAAGTCGGTAGACTCCGGTGATGTGATTGGCGACGACGAGAAAGATGATAGTCTTGTTGAAGAGAACTCCGACTGGTCCGATGGAGACGCAGTCGCTCGAACTGGCCTCCCGCTCGCCTCACTCCCCTCAGGTTTATGCTATGATGTGCAAATGCGCTATCACTGCGAAGTGCGGCCCACTGCAGACGTTCACCCGGAGGATCCAAGACGCATCTACTACATCTACAAAGAGCTGTGCCGAGCTGGACTCGTCGATGATCCCGAGTCAAGTCGACCTCTCGTATCCCGGCCTCTGAAAAGGATCAATGCTCGCAATGCTACCGAGGAGGAGATTTCCCTGGTCCACACGCCTGATCACTACGCCTTTGTAGAAAGCACTCAAGGTAATTATGTCGCTCCCCTTTACTCGCAGTGACGGCGCGAAAGTCTCCTAACTGGTTGTGTCAGATATGACGGATGATGAACTCATTGCGTTGGAACATACACGTGATTCCATTTATTTCAACAAACTCACCTTTGCTTCTTCAATCCTGTCTGTGGGAGGGGCCATCGAGACGTGCTTGGCCGTGGCTACCCGCAAGGTGAAGAATGCCATTGCTGTTATTCGACCCCCTGGCCATCACGCCGAGCATGACAAGACTATGGGATTCTGTCTGTTCAATAATGTCTCGGTTGCCGCGCGTGTCTGTCAGCAGCAGCTGGGCGAGAGGTGTAGGAAGATCTTGATTCTCGATTGGTGAGCCTAGCCATCCACTTGTACTTCACGTACGCGTTACTAACATGCTGAAGGGACGTCCATCACGGTACTTGATTAAGCCCCAATTCCTCACTTCAGTTGGGTTGCATTTGCTTATATACTTTACAGGAAACGGCATTCAGAAAGCATTCTATGATGACCCAAACGTTCTCTACATCTCGCTTCATGTCTTTCAAGAGGGGAAGTTCTATCCCGGAGGCGACGAAGGAGACTGGGACCACTGCGGTGGTGGCGCCGGTGTGGGACGGTATGGCATTCCTGCTTCTTTACGTTACGGCGACGACTGACATTGAACAAGCAATGTGAATATTCCGTGGCCAAGTCAGGGAATGGGCGATGGTGACTACATGTACGCTTTTCAACAAGTGGTCATGCCAATTGCCCAGGAGTTCAACCCCGACCTTGTCATCAGTAAGTCGACCTTTGCTCTGGCGGCTCAAGACTCCGAGACTGACAGATATAGTTGCTTCTGGATTCGACGCTGCCGCAGGCGATGAGCTTGGAGGTTGTTTTGTGACACCAGCTTGCTATGCTCATATGACGCACATGCTTATGACGCTTGCCAACGGCAAGGTTGCTGTCTGTCTGGAGGTTTGACCATCCCGCAGTAAATGCATAGGAGCACCAGGGCTAAGATGGAATATTAGGGTGGCTACAATTTCCGGTCGATCTCGAAATCTGCTCTTGCCGTTACGAAGACTCTGATGGGTGACCCTCCGGATCGTCTGCATTCCACCACACCGTCTGAAGCTGCAACAACGACTGTGAGACGCGTGATGATGATTCAGTCGGCCTATTGGAGCTGCATGTATCCGAAGGCACCAAAACAGGAGGGGCACTTCACTGATCGACTCCACGGTAAGAGGATTTCACGGATTGCTCGATCGGCGGCTAACAAGTCAGCAGATGTCATCCGTGCTTATCAGTCAAAGCAGCTGTATGACAATTACAAGCTGACATCTCTTTACATCTACCGTACTGCCATCTCGAAGTCATTTGAGAACCAAGTCCTTGCGAGGTAAATCGAACGCTCGATGGAATACGATCCTGACTGACCGGTTACAAGCCCGAACTACCACCAGGCCAAACCTCTTCTTGTCTTCTTCCATGACCCGTGAGTATTTGCTTGCAACGTGAGGGATCTTCTGCTGACAATGAGCAGGCCCGAGCTCATGAGTCTGCCTCATCCCGTTACCAACAAGCTAGAGGCTCATAACTGCTGGCTGGTACGTCGAAACTGTGAAGTGTTTCTGTCAGCTGCTGACAAACACCAGGCTGATGTATTATTGAAGGACTATGTTGGATGGGCCGTGGAGAAAGGATATGCGGTCATCGACGTCAACATCCCGAAACATGTGACTATTGATCCGGTCAGTTTCTAGCTCTCTCAGCGATCCTCATAAATACTGACTCCTTGACAGTCTCCCGGGAAGTACGAGGATGAAGACGAGAATCGACCTACCGCCACGGAGGAGCTCGCTGGCTATCTCTGGGATAACTATATCGAGTATGCCTTCACACCGTGAGCGCGAAGCGGTAGACCTTTGACTGACCAGTTTCATAGACCCAACGAAGCGACCGAGATCTTTTTCATTGGCATTGGCAACGCTTTCTACGGAGTTGCCAACCTGTTGATCAACCGAGGTAAGAGGGATGAGGGTCTGCATGAATGTGAGATACGGCTAACGTCGGGACAGAGACATTGTATAAACGTGTCAACGGCGTGGTCTCGTTTGTGGCTGAGAACCCTGTTCGTGCGGTGGCCTCCCATACTCAAGTCTGGCTCTCGCGGTGGTACCGAGACGTAAGTTTGGATATACATTTTATTTCTGCTCGGAGCTGACAGCCAGCCTGGTGAAGAACTCGCTCGTATTCGTCTCGCACACGCATGGGGTGTGGACGAGTCTCCAGCGCAAGCCCTCCAAACGCTACGGCAAGCTCGTGCAGTCGCCCAAGGCGGGGCTGAGCGAGATGCTCATGGAGCACAAGGAGGAGGTGTACCAGTGGATCTCGGAGCGCGCGGACGTGGCGGATAGCGAGGGAACCGAGGACGAGAAGCCTAAGAGACGGTCGCCGACTAAGGGGGCTGCTGCTGGGGAGGGTCAACGCGGACCGGGTGGAAGCTGAGGAAGTTAGATCTAGAAATTGGCTATAGGGTGGAGGGGAGGGGATTAGTGGGTTCGCTTGGTACCAAATCCCTGCATGAAATGCATAAATTCTCAGTTCACCAGTTTCTTGGCTTGTTAGGGGTAAGGGGCGTAGGAAAGGGGACCATCGGCCAAGCATCCTCTCTTATGGAGTGGTGGTGTGATGGATGTCCCGTAGTTGCATGTTCCTGTCCAGGGCTTTCTAAGAGTCACACCACCCACCACCGGCATTCTGGAGCCCGGGGGGCATTAACCTGGGCCCGTTCCTGGCGTTGCATTGCGGCTAAGACACGTTGGACCACTGCCTATTTTCAGTGCTGCTGCTGATGACGATGGAGTCAAGAGTTGAGATCAAATCCAGTAACCGAACCCTCCCTGCTCAGTGGTTGTACTGTACCTACACTGTGACTGCTGTGGTTAATGTCTACCCCAGGTTCCCACCACGGATCCTGCAAGCCATTCTTTAGATAGTATCCTCTCGCCTGCAGAAGCATCCGAAGAACGAATACGAGCCCAGAGACGCCGTCCAATTCTCCGAGTCTATTTTTTTCTTCTTCCTTTCTTTTCTCTTGTTACTGTCTTAACACCCCTCCTTGGAAGGACCCTGCAAAAAAAGTAAAGTGAAACCCAACCAAGTAGATTCTTACCTTGCAGTTCCATGCATGTTTTCGATTGTTACGAAGGTTACGTCGATTGTTCTTTTCTGTCTTGTAGCATATGATTTGGACTCAGAATCCCCGCTCTTGTTTCTGAGGTGTGTCGGGTGATTCCCGAGACATTAGAGGTGACTGACATCCATAAAGTTGACTTGACTTACTTGGCGACTTACGTGCAGAAAGTGTGGGGTAAAGTGAGACATCCCCAGACTCTAGGACCGTAGATCCCCATCCGTGATGAATGATGGAGTTCAATTGCAAGGTGCGGGGTTGGGTTTGGGTTGCGCGGTGTGGCTGTGGCTTTTCTCTCTTTCCCTGTGTATTATGATGAGTACGAGGTATATGGGTTTCTTTTGTCTTGTCTTTTGAGCGGAAAGGATCTGGGAGAAGTGGCTTGGGTTGGTGGGTGGTGTTTGCACAGGGAGACTTCTATTTTTGTTTTTGTTGGAGAATAGGATTGTGGAGGACCCTGGTTCGAGGGAAGTATCAAACACGTACTGTAACCAGCATGCCGGGGTACTGTACTGTCTTTTTTAGTAGAAGGTGGTATGGTGTGGTTGATGTCTCTCACGTGCATGCGAGTATCCTAGTGGAGGATGGGTTCAGGCGTCCTTTCGGTATTGCATTTGGATGTGAACTTGGAGAGCTGAGTTGCGCTGTGCGGTACCTATTGAGGAAGGCCTGAAGTGAGACATTTTAGGTAATTGCTTGAGAGCCTGGTCTTGGATCTTGGATGTTGATGTTAGTGTGGCGGAGAGAAAGAGATACAGAGAGTTGGGAGGCGAATGTTACTTCCGGCTTGACGAGGAGGAGTGTACAGTACTAGTGTCATGATCCCTATGAAAGAGGTATAAATATCACCCCGATGCTCACGGAAGTCTTGGAGGTTGGAGCATCATCCAGCTTCACGCAACAACCTCAAATCAACTCATCTTACCATCCATCCACACCACCGAATTACCCCCCCCC